AACCTACAGCAGCACCATGGGCCAGCCCATTAATGAAACTCATCCACATGACAGATCTCAGTAAACAAAGGCATCAGACATGCAATAATAAAACCTAAGCAAAAAAAGCACTCTTGTAGGTGGCGTAAGAGAGGGTATACCCTGGGGTGACCTCGGAAGATGATATAAAAGCCTTATCAAGATGTTAAATGCATGTAGTATAACAAGTCTACTGATAAGATTTTATCCATGAATCAACTATAAAAGCCTATGAAAACATGTGAATAAGAACATTTGGTTTTAACACAGCAGACAACAGCAAAAACTAAAAATCCCCTAAATGTTTAGGGAAGGGTACTGTTTAATGAATTATGGTACATTCACAGAGTGGAATGCTAAGCACCACTGAAAACAGTGACATGTTCTGCATGCATTCCAAGACATACATGCTTAAGTGCAAAATAAATAAATAAATAAATAAATAAATAAAAAATAAAAAAAAAAATAAGATATGGACCAGGAAGTAGAATATGAACCCATTTGGGATGCATGTATGCATGCAGAGGTATTATGAATGTATGTATGTATTTGTGCGTAAGGAGTTTGGGTTTTTTAGCTTCCTATTTTTGCTTTTGATTCCTATACAGATAGATGAGAAAATACAAACGGGGTCACACCTTTAAATAAAGATTTGTGAGGGTTCCGGGGGTCTTAATCAACTTAATCCAACTCTTGATTTTGGCTCAGTTCATGACCTCAGGGTCCTGAAATTGAGCCCTCAGTCAGGCTCTGCACTAGGCATGGAGCCTGCTTAAGATTCTCTCTCTCCTTCTCCTTCTGCCCCTCCCTTGCTCTTTTTCTCCTTATCAAAAAAAAAAAAAAATTGGGGGTTTAACATGTGTGTGAGTGGGTAGAGAAGAGAATTTACTTCTTATTTTCATACTATTTGTACTATTTTTTTAAATCATGTGCCTGCATAGTGAAAAATATAAAGGAATGTTTTTTAATTTCTGTGAAGAAATACATAGAAAATTTTAGTATAAGAAGACATTCATTGGCAGATACTATTATCAACATCTGTAAATTACTAGATATTGAAGATATGAAATTACTACCTCAAAAGCAGATGTTTATTTTTAAAATTTTTTTAGAGATTTTGTTTATTTATTTGACAGAGAGAGACACAGCAAGAGAGGGAACACAAGCAGGGTAGTGGGAGAGGGAGAAGCAGGTGCCGAGCAGGAAGCCCGATTCAGGGCTCCATCCCAGACCCCAGGATCAGGACCTGAGCTGAAGGCAGACACTTAATGACTGAGCCACCCAGGTGCCCCAAATGCAGATGTTTAGAAAGTACCCAACTGTTCATTAGTTTTATGTTTAATGTGCTTAATCTAGCAATGCTATTTTGCTTAGTTGACGGGAAATGTCACTTGTAAAATTATATGGGTTACAAAGAATGTAAAGTATGTTAGTGATAATTCAAGCAAATTTCAAACATGATTTTCATAATCAAATTCAAGCATGACTGAACCCCTTTCTCTCCACCGTGAATGCAGCCACAGATGTAAATCAGTTTATTAAACTATTAAGTTTAATTAAAGTGGACGCTTTAACTGGCAACAAGCCCCTAGCTCACAGTATAATGTGGAATTCATCCTAAATGCACATCTTTTTTATTATCCTATATGAACATTCTTAAAAATAATTGTAATAATTGTATGCTCCAAGCACCTCAAAACTCAAATCGGTAATATGGCCCTTTGAAATATCATTATCTTAGTATGATCAAAGAAGCCCAATTGCCTGGAGATGCCATTAAACACCAATAACATCATTCAACAGTTATTTTTGGAAATCCAGCCACGTAAGGCACCACACTCAAATAGCACCTATGTAAGTGTTGAGCACTTCTGGGGTTCAAAAATGGGGAAATCCCAACATGGAAAAGAAATAATGGTAAAGTTACTGGCATCAAGTTAGAAACCAAGTTCAGCTGCAAGAGAAAACTAGGATTTGTGATGATATAGAAAAGACAGAAGTCTGAATACTCATGTTGTAGAGCAAGATAACGGAAGAGCTGATAATGGACGGTAATAATTTTAGCAGCTTGACAGGAAATGATACTGAGAAAAAAAATAGCAAATGTGTTTAGACAGGAGAAGTAGTCTCCAATATTAAACAAAAAAATTTAAGAATTATGAAGCAGCCATTACTGAATGACTCTAGGACAATTAGTAGGGAAGATAGGCCTAACTGTTTCTCAGACAGTGGTTCTCAAACATGAGAGCGTACCACTATCACCGGGAGGCCTTATAAAATACAAACTGCTGAGCCCAACTCCCAACATATCTGATCCAAGAGGTCTGGAGTAAAGCCCAAGAAACTGCATTTCTAACAAACCTCCAGGTGATGCCTATGCTGTTGTTCTAGAGACCACAGCTGAAGAACCACTATCCAAGAACAACTGTGAACACATTTAGTACCTCGTCTCCTCAGAAGGCATGACATAACAAACCAAAAATGCTGAGAAAAACATCATCGTCACATAAGCTGAGGCAGGCTCAGGTCTTTCTAAGTCTGGTCCAAGGAACCCCTTTGAAGCGAGCTCTCTGGGGTACACAGAGAGTGACTGACTCTCACAGAACTGAGATGAAGCCAATCTGGACCTTAGGGGGGACTGGATTTCGGCCCCACATTAACCATCTCACCTCCTAGTGAGGCTGATCTGAAGGAAACAGTTCTGTGACTAGACACAGACATAGAGTTAACATCCAAAAACCAACTGTGGACAAGATCATCACTTGGCATGTCTTCTTTAATGCTGGGAGTTCATTAAACCATACCTAACCTGAAATCAAACCAAAGAGTGTATGACACTTTGTCACTTTGCCAGTTGCAATATTTAAATGCATAACCACAAACCACTTGAAGACCCCAAAACCCAGACCAATACATGGTAAGAGTCTATGAGAGGTCACTAATGAGAAAGTTCTAATGCCCCACTATCACCAAAACCATCACTATGGACGTATCCTGGTCACTTCTGCCACCTTGAAATGTGTAGGAATACAAAAAGTTGCCACAGGGAGAGAGCATAAGTAACTAGAAGCAAGATGCGTATTATACCCTCTAGCTGTCAAGATGTCACTGTGAGGTAATTTTTAGATGAGATTTATACTCAAATATTAGACTCTGAGTAAAGTACATTATCTTCCATCATGTGGAGAGGCCTCATCTAATCACCTGAAGGCCTTAAGAGAAAAAAAGTCTGACCTCTCTAAAGAAGAGGGAATTTTGCCTCCAGAATTCCTCTGGAATCAAGGTTGCAACATTAACTCTTATTCTGGGTCTCCAGCCTGCCAACCTCCCCTGTAGATTTCAGACCTGTCAGCTCTCACTATTTTATGAATCAATTCCTTAGAGTAAATCTTTCTATATACATATGTACACATATAAATCTAATTCATCATTATCAAGTAGGGACAAAGATTGTGAACAGGGATGTGAGAGGACAGTCAACTACTACCATTCGTTCTTTCTCTGGAGAACCCTAACAAACACAACACCCTCCAGTCCACAGTCTCTGTCCGTCACTTGATAATGATCAATTACCTCCATTGTTACGAAGAAAATTACCTTTGGGACGCCTGGGTGGCTCAGTCAGTCAAATGTCCGACTCTTGATTTCAGCTCAGGTCATTATCTCAAGGTTGTGAGACTGAGCCCTGCATCAGGCTCCACAGTGAGCATGGAGTCTACATGAGGATTCTCTACCCCTCTCTCTCCCCCTACTTCACTCACATGTGCATGTGCATTCTCAACTCTCAAATAAGTAAATCTTTAAAAAGGAAAGAAGGATGGAAGGGAGGGAGGGAGGAAGGGAGGAGAAGAAGGTATCTAAAATTCCCACTAAAATGTACCATGACTAATATTTGGATTTTCTTCCTGGTATTTTCCTACACATACATATGTATAGTTTTATCTCTAATTCAAAAAGTAACACATGTTAATGGTAAAGTATATGAATAGAAAAGATAATATAGGGGCACCTGGGTGGCTTGGTGGGTTGGGCCTCTGCCTTTAGCTTGTGTCGTGATCTCGGGGTCCCGGGATTGAGCCCTACATCGGGCTCTCTGCTTGGTGGGGAGCCTGCTTCCCCCGCTCTCTCTGCCTGCCTCTCTGCCTACTTGTGATCTCTCTCTGGCAAATAAATAAATAAAATCTTAAAAAAAAAAGAAAAGAAAAGCACCTGTATCCAATCACCTAGTAATAACTACTCAATGTTTTAGTCCGTCTCCACAACAAATTAAAGCTCCTCCTTAAATGACTATTAGATAACTGACTGGGGGGAGGTATTTTTTCTTTTTATCTTTTATATTTTTTTAGATTATTCATCAAATAATTACCTTCAATTGGAGAAATATCCCTTTCTAATAAGACATAAATTATTTGTGCTATATTTGGTGGGGAATTAAGAGAAAAGATTATTTAACAAATTTTATTTGATAAAATATTAAGCATCAAAGCATTTGTTGTGAAAGATAAATCCTGTAAGTATTTTTCACAGAAGTAATTATCTTATCATAGCAATGCACTGTGTTTGTAAATACCAGCATAAAATCTTGGACAGCACAGGCCAGTCACAGAATATCATAAGATATAACTGTATGAATTACCATATCATGAGATATACATAGTAAAATATTATATTTTCTTTTCTGCAATATGTTATATTTAAAATACATGCACATGTAAATGTGTTCAAAGGATATGCATTAAAATGTTTTTAAAATTTAAAAAAAAAGTTCTCTTTTCACTTTAAAATGAATTATTACCCTTTAAAATGTTGTCAGGCTTTAATGACATTTATATTCTATGCCTCTGTATATAAAACTCAACCAGAAGCAGACAGCTCCTACTTATTGAAAAAACAGCCTCCGCTGTGGTTACACAAACTATACAATTACGTTGTAAATTTCCACAGTGAGCACAAACTAAGGGCCCAGGAACTGGACATCTTACCAAGCATCCATCCTGATTCAAATGCTCTTTGGAATCCATACTAAGCTTCCTCTTTCTGTTGGGCTGTTTCATTGCCACTTTAGCACTCCTTAGCAGTGTTTTTCTGCAAAATAGTGCCACATAAAAAAAGTTTAGGAGTTTTGCCCCTTTAGAATAACAAAAACAAACCCAAATAATGCTTTCATTAAACTTCTAACTGGTTGCCATAAATACACTGAAAAATGAGCTGACATAAAAATTTCACTGTTGCTCTTATAGATCCCACTAAAATAATAAGTTAATGGGGAAAAGAAATGAGTTTTCTACTTCATCTAGAATTTGTATAATAAAAAAGATAGATACTATTTCTTTGGTCTACCTAGCACAATATTTTTGGCTGTTTTGTGCAGTTTTGGGGAGGCGGTTGTTTTATTTTTGTTTTCTTTTTTGCTTAGTTAATTTAACTAATTCAGGTTCACTGCAATCTACGTATTCAGATTCCATACTCACATGGTCTGACTGTCCACAAGTGTCAAGGCAGAAGTATTCTTGGTGAGAGGACTTTTGTCATAAAAGGCATAGCATAGAAATCTGGAACAGAGAAAATAAAAAAAATTTATGAATCCAATTTATCATGACCATTCTTCAGTATGCTAATGAATAGTGGACTAGTAACAAAGTCAAATCAGAAATCAAGTACCTTCCAACAAACAAGAGTCTAGGACCAGATGAATTCACAGGTAAATTCTACTACACATGTAAAGAGGAGTTAATACCTATCTCTCTAAACTATCCCCCCAAAAAAACTAAGAGGAAGGAATTCTTCCAAATTCATGATATGAGGCCAGTATTACCCTTAAACCAAACTAGAAAAAGGTACCACAAAAAAGAAAATTACTGGCTGTTATCCTTGATAAATACAGATGCAAAATCTTCAAAAAAATATTAACAAACTGAATCCAACAATACATTAAAAGATCATTCACCCTGATTAAGTGGGATGTATTCCAGGGATGCAAGAATGGTACAATATCTGCAAGTCAATCATGACATACCACATTAATAAAACAAAGAATAAAAATCATGTGATCATCTCAAAAGATGCAGGAAAAACGTCTGACAAAATTCAATATCCATTCATGATAAAAACTCTCAGCAAACTGGATTTATACCTCAACATAATAAAGGTCATATATGACAAAACCACAGCTTACATCATACTCAACAGTGAAAAGCTAAAAGCTTTTCCTCTAAGATCAGGAACAAGACAAGGATGTCCACTTTTACCACTTTCATTCAACATATTGTTAAGTCCTAGCCACAGCAATCAGACAAGAAAAAGAAATAGAAGGCATCCAAATTGATGAGGAAGAAGTAAAACTTCCACTGTTTGCAGATGACATGATACTATATACAGCTGGCCCTCAAATAACACAAGTTTGAACTACACAGGTTCACTTACATAAATACAGTAAAATATTGTAAATGTATTTTCTCCTCTTTATGGAATTTTCCTAATAACACTTTCTTTTCTCTAGTTTATTTTATTGTATAAATACAACATATAGTATATATAATATACACAACATAGATTACTTGACTGTTTGTGTTATCAGTAAGTCTTCTGTTCACCAGTAGGATCTTAGTAGTTAAGGTTTTGGGGGTTTGAAAGTTTATATACAAATTTCCAACTACACTGGAATTGGTGCCCCCACCTTGTTCAAGGGACAACTATATAGAAAACCCTAAAGACTCAAAAAAACTGTTAGAATTAATAATTGATTCAGTAAAGTCACGGGATACAATATTTCTATACACCATAAAAACAGTCAAAGAAAGAAATTACAAAACAATCCCATTTACAAGTGCATCAAAAATAATAAAATACCTTGGAAAATATCTAACCAAGGAACTGAGAGACCTGTGCCCTAAAAAAAATAAGATACTGATGAAAAAAACTAAAGATAAAACAAATACAAGCTCATGGATTGGAAAAATTAATATTGTTAAAATGTCCATTCTGCTCAAAGTAATCTACAAATTCTCTGCAACCCTTATCAAAACACCAATGGTATTTTTCCACACAATTAGGACAAATAATCCTAAAATTTATTTGAAATCACAAAAGACCCTGAATAACTAAAGCAATCTTGAAAAAGAAGGACAAAGCTGGAGGTATCACAATCTCAGATTTGAAAGTATTTTATAAAGTTATAGTAACCAAAACAATATGTTACTGAACAAAAACATACACAGATCAACAGAAGAGAATAGAGAACCCAGAAATGAGCCAAAATATACATGGTCAGTTAATGTATGACAAAGGAGACAAGAATATAATACAATGGTAAAAGAACAATCTCTTCAAAAATTGTATTGAGAAAATTGGAACAGCTACATGCAAAAGAATAAAGAATGAAAATGGACCACTTTCATGCATTATACACAATAAATCAACTCAAAATAGATTAAAGTCCTAAATGTAAGACCTGAAACTATAAAATTCCTAAAACAAAGTGTAGGCAGTTATCTCTTAGACATCAGCCTTAGTATTATTTTTGTGAATCTGTCTCCTCATGCAAGGGAAACAAAAGCAAAAATAAACAAATAGGACTACATCAAACTAAAAAAATTTTGCACAGCAAAGGAAATCTTCAATAAAACAAAAAGGTGGTCTACTGAGCTGGAGAAGATATTTTCAAATGCTATATCTGATAATGGGTTAGTATCTAAAATATATAAAGAATTCAAGGCACCAGAATGTCTCAGTCATCTGAGTGTCAGACTCTTGGTTTTGGTTCCGGTTGTAATCTTGGGGTCATGGGAACAAACCCCACGTCAGGCTCCATGCTCAGCAAGAGTCTGCTGGAGAATTCTCTCTTTCTCCCTCTGCCCTCTCTATAATAAATAAATGTGAATGGAAGGAAAGAAGGAAGGAAGGAAGGAAGAATTAATCCATATAACACCAAAAAAGCAAATAATCCAATCAAAAATGGAGAGAAGTCATGAAGAGAGAGTTTCCCAAATGAGACTTTGAAAAGGAGACACATGAAAAGATTCTCAACATCACTAGTCATCAGAAAAATGCAAATCAAAACCACAATGAGATATCACCTCACACCTGTCACAACAGCTACTATCAAAAAATCAATAAAGGGATGCCTGGGTGACTCAGTCAGTTAAGCATCAACTCTCAATCTTAGCTCAGGTCTTGATCTTGGGGTCATGAGTTCAAGTCTCATGTAGGGCTCCATGCTGGGTGTGGAGCTTACTAAAAAAAAAGTCAATAAATAACAAGTGTTGGTGAGGATATAGAGAAAAGGGATCCCTCTTGGACTATTGGTGGGAATCCAAACTGGTGCAGCTCCTATGGAAAACAGTATGAAGGCTCCTCAAAAAAAAAAAAAAAATTAAAAATAGAAATAGAGATACCATACAACCCAATAACTCCACTTCTAGGTATTCACTCCCCCCCCAAAAAAAAAAACCACACCACACTAATTCAAAAGGTTACATGCACCCAGCATTATTCACAAAATCGAAGATATGGAAGCAACCAAGGTGTCCATCAACATATGAATGGGTAAAGAAAATGTGATATATATCTATATATATAAATATACACAATGGAACATTACTTGGCCATATAAAGAAATTAATTCTTGGCATTCATGAAAACACGGATAGCCCTAGAGGGTATTAGGCTAAGTGAAATAAGATAGAAGACAATATTTGATTCACTTATATGTAAAATATAAAAAATAAAACAAATGAACAAATAAATTCACAGATACAGACACAAAACTGGTGGTTGCCAGAGGGGAGGGAGATAGAAGGATGAGTGAAACAAGTGAAGGTAATTAAGAGATACAAACTTCCAGTTATAAAACAAATACGTCATGGAGATGAAAGTGCAGCATGTGAAATATGGTCAGTAATATTATAATAATGTTGTATGGTGACAGATGATAACTACATTTATTGTGGTGACCATTTCATAATGAACCTAACTGTCAAATCTCTATGTTATGTTCCTGAAACTAACATAATATTATACATCAAATGTAGCTCAATAAAAAATAAAAATTTAAAAAATGAATAAACACTAGTAGACGTTCTTTGAAAAGTTATCTGGAATGAGTTTTTGATAAGCAGGTTCACCATTTTAGAGAACTTAGCCCTTAGCATTATCAGATTACCACTGAAGCAATAATTCAGTTTGAATAATTTTAGCTACGACTGACATGTAATTAAAAAGTTTAGCAGACCTAAATCATCTGTACTCCCCAGTGTTTTAGAATCATTCACCCAAACTTCTTCCTTGATATGTCCTCCGGCACAATGACCCTGGATGCTACAAACCGAACACACTCACGACTGAATTCATCACTGCCCCTCCCACTGCCTCCCAGCTACACTCTCTTTTCCTGTTTGCACTAATGACATGACTGGTCCACCTGTTTGCCCCCATCTGCCCCTTGCCACTCTTCAGACAAGACACTGCCCAGGAGCACCAAGCCAGTGGGCAAGTGCAGGCCAAAATTCACTCTGGGCTCTGCACACACACCACTCCCCCTGAACAGGCATCAAAAAATGTATCTTCTTCTGATTCAAACAAAGACACTTCTTGGAACACTGAAAAGAAATTTTAATAAAAAATGAATAAAAATTTTTTTTTTAAAAAGACACCTCTTGGGCTACTGGTGGCCCTGACTTTGCCAGAGCCGGAGGACTAGCAGTTAGCATCATTTCATCCATTACATCACCCCTATCAGGTTTTGCTCATTTTTAATCTACTTGACATTTCTTTTTTTTTTTTTAAGATTTTATTTATTTATTTATTTATTTATTTGAGAGAATGAAAAAAAGTGGGGAGAGGTAAGGACAGAGAGAGAGGAAGAGAGAGGGAGACCCAGAGTGGAGCTCAACATGGGGCACGAACTCAGGACCCTGAGATTATGACCTAAGCCAAAATGAGGAGTCAGATGCTTAACTGCACCCCTCTACAATTCTTGGATTTATTTTCTCCCCCTACACCTATTAAATCTGGCCACCTCCAATCTTATCATCCCTTCAAGTTCTTTGGAACACTATACCCTGCTGCTTCTCAGCCCACACTTTTGCTGGTCCCTCAACCTTGGAACACCTTCCCTGCTATCCATCCCTCCTTTTTCAATTGAATTCTTACTCATCCTTTATGACTCAACTTAAAGAGACTTCATGGCCTCGAGAAAAGCCTTCCTTGCTCACCTCCTGCTCCCAAAGGACAAGGTGCATCTGACATAAAATTTATTGTACTTGTGCTTATCTCTGTCACATTATTCAATACCTTATACTATATATTTTTTATTTATATATACGTATCCCCTTATGTGGCCAATGACAAGGACTGAATTATTGATCCTTATTTTCCTATTGTCTACATAGCTTCTGGCTCAGTATGTGTTATGGAATATTATATTTGATTCTTTTTTTGTCTGGGAGCAAAAACTTATATGGGCTGTTAGGTATCTTTTATATTTTTGGTTGTATTATCTAAAGGGAATCCAGTTGTTACCAAATTGTATTTTGAAACTTTTCAGTGGAAAAATTTTCATCTTTTTTTCCCC